TATATATATATAAAATATAACGATTTCGATGAAGCTTTCACACTTTTAGAAGAAAACCGTTAAAACGATTTTCTTTATATCGTAAACGCTATTTTTTATACCGACATTTTATTAAACGTTATTCTTCATATCTTTACTTAACGATTTTCTTTATATATTTCATCATTTTGTTCAAGAATATCTATTTGTCGGTAATTACTCAACGATATTTTCAGGTCGATATTTTACTCAACGATATTTTCATATCGATATTTCACTTAACCATTTTCAGTATATAATAATTTTGCTCAGGGATATTCTATAAAAATACGATGTATTACTCATGATATATTATTCCTATTTATGTTATACTTACCGATATTATATGTATATCAAAATACCACTTAACGATTTTCTTTATTTCGATGTATTCTCAACGATATTTTTCTAAAAATTTGCGTAACGACTTTTTATATCATATTTTTTTCGTTAACGATATTTTTCTTATCTACATTTTACTCAACGATACTGTTAACGTCGATTTTTTACCGAATGTTATTCTTTATATCAATATTTTAATTAACCAATTTCAAGGTTTGTCTCATCATTTTGCTTAAGGATATTGCATAAAAATCGATATATTACTCAATAATTATTCAGAAATCGTGAGATGCGGTCTGGTGTGATGTAGGTTTCTGAAAAACCTTTTCTTTATCGTGCCAACGTTTCGATCTTTATTGAGACCATCTTCAGAGAGTGCCCTCCTCTCAACACAACACGCAACAACTGGATGTTTGGTATCGATTATTGTATTTAGTCATCATATTAATACAATGTTATTATTAATTACATATGCAATATTATTTTTGTTTTGGATTACATTGTATTAAATTGTAATTACCAAATCCCCCATGCTGGAACATGCAACGTACAATTGTCCATGAAAAAACCATGGATTCTCCAAATTCAATCCACATAACGGCAATGATTGACCTTGTGATTTCCTAATTATTACTGCAAAAGCCGGTTTAATTGGAAATAGCAATTATTTTAGTTGGGAAGACACTTTGATTGGTATAATTGGTATATTAGCAAATCCTCTCCTTTCAATTTTAGTAAGAATATTAATATTATTCTACGAACAATATGATGTTGGTGTGGTGGCATTTTAAAAAACAGAAAAATTCAATTTTAACAACAGAGAGTCAAAAAGTCAAAATGGAAGATTAAACATCCTCCATACTAGCCAAAATTATCACAATTAATACTGAACAGTAAAAAACTTAGAAAACTAAGATAATTTACTACTTCATCTCGGTCTATAACTGTATATCCGTCTATAAGCTCAGATACGAAGATGTTTGTGCATAAACACACACACAAGTGCAGAGTTGTGCCTATCACCTCTCGCAGTCCACCAGCAATTCCAGTTTGTAATTTGCAGTAAATTACCGGTACGCATCGAGAATCACTCACCGTGGTTTGGTTCGGGGAGCTGCAAACAGGTTATAGGTCATTTCATCAGTTCCAAAAAACAAATCACACTATCACTATATGATTATCTATTGATTTATATCTCTATTTTTTCGTATATACAGCCGTATAACCCGGTCGTTAATACAAAGTTTATTTTAAAGATTATTTTGAGTATTCATATTGCAAATTCTTGATGTGGTATAAATATATATATATTTGTAAGCGTGTCTCTTCTGTTTTGAGCTCAACCCTGAATTCGGAGAACCGAAAACAAGGTCCCAGAGGTTTTTTTTATGATCGGACCTGACTACATTAATTTAATTTAATGATCAGGCACCTTTTTTTGATATATGAAATTCCAATATTGAATTCAAACCAAAATAAATACGAGACCAAAATATTAATTAAATTTAAATTATTTATTACAATTTATTTTAAAAAAGATTACAATTTCTTTTATTAATTATTATTTTTAATTTAAAGAATCTTTTATTCTATAATAAAACCTACTTCAGAATCTACAAACATTAATTTTAAAATCGACGTTAATTCTCGTTTTATAAAGAAAAATAAAAGTAAAGGAAATTATTACTATTAATTTTTGACCACCAATTAGAAAATACAATTAATATTTTAACATAACTTTTAAAATCAAATGTTATCTCTTTTAGTTTTCTTTATAAAAATATATTTTTTGTTACAACCCTTTTTTAAATTAAAATTCAATTATTATTTTTAGTTTTTTGACGTCAAAATATAAAATTTACTCGCTTGAATTGTGTGCACACCAAATTTTCTTAATTACAAATAAACAGCTCTTAACCCACGGAAGACAGAAAGGGAATTGTGTTTTTTGACTGAAAAAAAATAGCCCTTTCCTAGCCCCTACTCTTTTCACTGTCAGATGTGTGTGGAGGGGCATGGCGGTACATTCAAATTGAAACGTGACATAAATTAAATGAATACAATTTCAAGTTTAAACTTTATTGTGCAAACTTTATTCACACCTTCAACAACCACAACTGGATATAAATTATATTCAAAATCTGATTTATACTGAAATGCAATACAATCATGTTTTACCAATTGATTTAATCGATTCATTTGCATCCTTAATCGACTATTGTCACGGTGTTCATTCTGATCACAATAGGTCTGATTGTCTTAATTCTCTAATTTTACTCGGTTTGTTTCATTTCGTGATGTTGTGATGATTTAGCAGGAATTGAGTGTGACATATGAAATCTATTTTGTTCATTTCTTTGTGCTGTTCCTTCTTCTGCTTTATTACGTCTTTCACCGCATATTCTCTAGTCAAGATTTGTGCGACGGCCAATATTTTGTCGTTTTCGTGACATTTTAAACATCAACAAAACACGATTCCAAAATCAGTTCTAGAACAGCAGAGTCAAACAGTCAGTGTCATTCGAAAACTGAACATATGGAACTTCACAGCCTTTCACTTTATAAAATCCAGAATGTTAATAAATCCAACAAAACAACAGCACTACGTATCACATTTAATTTTAAACTGACCGCGTTCGGTAAAACAATGTTTAATAATATTTTACATAAATTATAATTATTTATGCATACATGTAAAACAAAAACGATTTTTGTAGTCTTTATATTTGTTTACTAAATAAACGTTCACTTGGAGCACCTTTCTGATTTTTATGGTTTGGCCAAGTGGAACGGTGGTCGGTCAGGCCATGCCTATAGTTTTTCTCCTTCCTACATCACTACTGCCTGTAGTATAGATACAACGGTGAAGTTTGTATCTCCATATCTTTACATCGGCGAAACCAATTCTGCAGTTTTTACGACTATAATCTATCAGCAGTTTTGCAACTATAAACGATTCAGCGATTTTTGCGACTATAGAGTGTTAGCGTAGTTTTTGCGTCTTTTGACTGTCAGCGCCTCCAAATCGGAATTTAAAAGACGCGGGAAAGTTGTTTTATACCGGGTGACTAAGGCCCCACTGGACAGCTGACAGCTAAGAAAACAGATGTGAAAATGGACGCCACAAATTCCTCGCCAAAATCTCTCTATTGTTCTAAATCCTGACGTCCATTATTTATATCCCATTTCATATTAATTAAACCTATCCAGCACAAATATTACAAAGTGTGAAAGCTTCATCGAAATCGGTTCAGTAGTTTTCGTTTTATATATATATATAAATATCGATTAACGGTCACTAATCACCACACATTGTANCGATAAAGAAAATGTTTTTCTGAAACCTACATCACACCAGACCGCATCTCACGATTTCTGAATAATTATCGATTAACGGTCACTAATCACCACACATATTCCTGAATGATGTTTTTCATGACTAAATTTTGTTTATCGATGTTCTTGATATCTATGTTTTACATAGCGATATTATATGTAACGATTCAATACACCGGTATTAAAAATATCGATATTTATGATATTAGGTATCGATATCGATATTCGATATTTATGATATTAGGTATCGATATCGATATTCGATATTTCCCTTTGCAGCATTAATCCAATTGGCAGTTTTGAAAATTATTGATATTATGCAACAATATAAATAGTTCACTAGTTTCTGGTCCGCTTGACCAATTAATATCTTTCAGTTAGTTAAAACTTAAAAATGGCAAAAAGGAGGGGCACTCAAAAGGTGGGGTTGAGATGGGAAGTTAGTGCCCGAGTGGAACGATGTCACGATAGCTCAAGTGGTAGAGCAGCGGCGTATCTAGCCGAAGATCGTGGGTTCGAATCCCGCTCGTGACACTGACTTTTTTATCTCAACTAAAAACCTTAATTAATTGAAAAATATAAATAAAACAATTTATTTTTATTGTTTCAGCCGCTGTTGGGCCTCCACCCAGGCTTTAGGAATTACCGGATTTATTGTTAACAAGTAAGTTTTAGATATCATATGTATAACTAACCTTTAAGTGGGTCTTAGTGTCTAAAAAGGACATTTCTTTTTGGTTAATTAAGTGATTTTGAACCTTCATTTTTTTCAGATGTACACCTACTCTACCACAAAAACGCTGGGCATATAAATGCTTGCAAATAAAACCTTGTTAATTTTTTTATTAAAAAAATTATTTTTCAATATTATTTATTTGTAATTTAGAAGTAAAGGGGAAGTTGGTTGATAACGTAATAAAAACGATTTCTCCTCGGTAAGTGGAAGAAATCTGTCTTCCCCCTCAGCGATGAAAGTCCTGTTGCATAATTAATAAACGGAAAAAGGATCCTTTTTTAAATCCCAGTGCAGAGGAATCAATGTAAATCCGCCTGACGTGCCCACCCTGGTTAGCATAAACGGCTCGCTAATTTTCAACCCGGTCGGGTTTCGCGTTTCCTTTTTCCAATTTCGAAACTTTCCACCGGCCGTTAAGACCACCCCGCGCCTTTGTAAAACAAGCTGATAAATCACCGTCACTTTGACTAACGGATTGTTCGGTTTAGGAAATGCCCGAAGATAAATGAAAATCCGCAAGCCCTTTCCAAGCTATTATAAACGTGACGTGCAAAAGAAGTTTTTTGTTAAGAAGTTAAGAAATTTTGTTTAAATGATATTTCCAAGCAATTGTTTTTGTTTTGTTAAGGGTTATGTTGCGCAAGTGATGTCCAACACAAACCGCAAATTGTTTTATTGTCGAGTTTTCTTCATTTTTAACGTCAACATGTTTTTCGGATAGATATAATTTTATGTGTAATCATCTTTGCGTTACTGGGTAGTGCAAATGGGCTGGCTTAAGGATGGTTAAGAATAGTCAGGGTAGGTAGGGTTAAAGTTAGGAATGGTTAGGCTCGGTAGGGTATGGCATGGCTAGGGACGACTTTAATCTTTTTAAATAGATAGTTCCTACTTACAGTAAGTTTAAAATGATAGTTCTTACTGACAGTAAGAAAATTTTTCAAAAAGATTGAACAACACACTCACTGCACCATTCATCGTTTCTAAGGACGAGTTTTGTTAGGTAAGATATAGTTGGCGAGGGGCAGATAAAATTACATTAGGTAGGGTTAGGGTTAGCCATGAATTAAGTCAATTCATAGGGCTAGGATTAATGTTAGGGTATGGTATGGTATGGCAGAAAAGGATACTAGGAAGCGGGTTTTGTACTCCCCAGGCACTGCAGCCTTCTGACTTATTGTACCTTCCTAGTTCCTTAGTTCAGTTAGTAGACTCAATCCTTCTTCTTAGAAGTATCAGGTCATTGCTGTTGCTGATGCAATTTGATTCCCTAAGTTTTTTCGGTACGTTAGGTTAAATTTCCATTGAGCTGTTGCTTCCCATTTGAAGATGATATGGGTGGCTGTTTCTTCCTCCTCATTACATAATCTGCAAATGGGACCATCGCTGTACATACCCATGTTGTGTAGATGTTTTCTCAAATGCAAGTGACCAGTTAGTAGTCCTATCACTTCTGAGTTTGGCCCTTTCCAATTGCAGCAGTGTTTTTGCCAGTCTTTACTGCCATAAGTTTACTATGTCTAGCACCGCTAGAGTTTATCCACTTCTCATTTTGTTTTGCTTGGATCCATTCTGCGATGGAGGATTCTATATTTGTTCTTGTTATCCCAAGAATAGGATCGGGGTCTATGTATGGTCTTGCAGAGTCTCCCCTGGCCAGACTATCTGTCTCATTACCCAACATTCCCCTGGGCCCTGGCACCCAAGATATCATCAGGTTGTTGTGTTTCCCCAGGTTTTGGAGATTTTGGATGCATTCACTGACTAATTTTGATGTGATTCTTTTACATGCTCATGCTTTAATGGCTGCTTGGCTATCTGATCTTATGAGGATTTTTTTGTCAGTGTAACCTCTTTTAAGATTTTCCCGTGAACAAGCATTGATGCCATGTATTTCTGCTTGAAAGACCGAAGTTTACTTCCCTAATGTGTTTGATATCTCATGTTTTGGGCTTGTACAGAAAACGCCTGATCCGGTTCCTTCCTTTGTTTTGGTGCCATCTGTGTACCATGTCATTGTATCTGATGCTCTCCTGTGTCCATTGAGACTTTATAGGAAGTTGTGAAGATTGTTTCCGGGATCATATAATCAGTCCACATTTCTAATAATGGGTGTCTGATTTTGTTGATTATGGTTGTATGCCCGAATTGTTTAGTTCCTTTCCAATTTAATTGTTTCTGGATTAATGTTAGGGACTAAGTAGGTTACTAAATAAGGTAAGGTTAAAATTAGGATTTGGGGCAAATTAGATTTGGTTAGATAGGGTTAGGATTAAGGACGAATTTGGTTAGGTTAGTTACAATTATGAATATGATTGGGGACGGTTTAGGTTTGGCTAGGTAGAGTTATGGTTTGAATTATTATTAGGGACGGATTAGGTTAGTTTAGGTTTAGTGTTATAAGTGGATTAGATTAGGATAGTAGGGTCAGGATTATAGTTTAGGGTTGATTAGTTTTGGTTATGTAGAATTAGGATTAAAATCATAGACTTAATTTTGGTTGTACGGTTGAGGTTAGTGTTACGGTTAGTTAATATTTTTATGAAAGGTATTGGTCGAGATAAAAAAGTCAGTGTCACGAGCGGGATTCTAACCCACGATCCTCGGCTAAATACGCCGCTGTTCTACCACTTGAGCTATCGTTACTTCGATCCGCTCGGTCACCAACGTCCCATGTCAACCTACAACTTTTCGAATTTTCCCTCCTTTTTACGGTTAGTGTCCGTTTAGATATAAAGCGTTATGGTTAGCGTTAGCGTTATGGGAGGTTTATGTTTCGTAAGGTAAGGTTAGGGTTTCAATTATGGTTACAGTTATCGTTAGGTTCTGATTAGGTTAAGTGGAGTTAGTGTTAGGGAATATTTAAGGTTTGGATTAGGGTAAGGTTAGTTAATGTTTGTGACAGTTTAGGCTTCGTTATTTAGTGTTAAGGTTAGCGTTAGTGATGGGTTAGATTACATATCCACTGTTCAGTGTTTGGTCACGTTTATGTATGATAATCAGCAATCGATGACCATTAGATATTTTACTGAAAGATGTTTCTTGGCAAAAATATTGTCTGTAATCGGTATTTACATAAGAATAGATTGATTTTTGTTGATAAAATCTCTTCTTTGAAATTAAGATTGTGAGGCGAGGCACAACAATTGGGTAAGTCAAATAGAGGACAATGTACGGTTTATTCTCGACGACTGCTCTTTAAAACGAGTATGCCAATGATGTCGCCTTGTTCATTTAAATCTTCCCATTCACCCGGGTAAATAAACGTTTGTATTTTGCGGGCCTGAATGGGCTTTATTTTAAAAAGGTTTTGTCCTGGCAGGAGACCGGATTGATTATTATCTGGAGGAGGCCATCCGTAAATTCTTCGGGGGCGGAAATGGAGTGGTGAAATAAATAAAGCTTTTTGTAAGAGGCTATGTGATGAATTCTCCCTTGTTCAACGGCTTATCACAATGTATAAACGTAATTTGTTCTCAACAATTATCACTTCTTTAAAGTATGAGTCCATAATTTTTACAATGTGTTTGTCGTTGTATTTCACAACCGTAGTTCAACGAAAAACAAAGTTAAAATATAATCAAAATGATCGTTCAAATCATAAAATAGAAGCAATGAAGTCTCCATATATACTCAATATTGTAAAAGTTGAAATATATGCCAATTTTCTTTCAAAATTATCGAAGAACAGTGCACTGGGGTGTTAAAAAAATAGTGTCTCAAACAGAGCTCTTAGGGAAACATCCGACACTGTTGTATTTAGGCTTACCCAGCGGGACTCTGGCATCTCATATCCCTAGCTACTCGTGGGAACAATATGGAGCCTATAAAACAAAAACCAAACATCCGGATCAAGCCCAGAGGCCACCCAACCAGGCAATAGTACCACACCAAAGTATATGCCCTTCAGGTCTAAAAGCCTGGAGGAGATCGAACAACTCACAGCTGATGCAATTAGTAAGCCTCCAGAAACAGGTTACCAACCCTATTGAAGGGGATAGACAGTAGAATATGTTAAAACACGAAGGATGGTAATTCGGGACAACTTCATAAAGACGAACCTGAAGACGAAAAAGGAAAAGAAACAGGAGAAAAGTCAGCTCATTTAACAAAGCCTACTTCTAATACCGAAAAGAAAAGGCCAAGTTCGGAAGGCAGCACCCCCAAAAGCAGGTGCCGAAAAAAGGTACCAATGCCAGAACGGGAAAAAAAGGGTGCAAAGGAACACCGCTAAAGGTAAATTCCTAATGGTACTGAAAGGTCCAAAACTGACAAGGGCACTGGGGCTGAAGTCTTTAGGATGAATTCAAAGACCGAACTGGCTTAAGTCAATATGCTACTGTTTTCCAGTTTGAAAACATAGAGATTGAACACTGCCACAAGGAAATAATAAAGCTAGGAATACATTACCAGATGATAGCTATTTTCTCTGAAAATTAGGCGGCACACCAGGCTTTAGGTAAAGGAAAAAGTTTGGAATCCCTGGCAGAAGTCAGCGCCAACAATGACCTGATCCTGGCATGGGGCCACGTGCATTCGGGGCATAGAGGCAATGAGAAAGTCGACATGTTGAGCAAAATAGGAGCCAACATGGAGCAACATAGATCCCGAACCCTACTATAGCGTAGCATCTTGCAACAAAAGAGCATTCATCCTCAAATGGATCGTTAATGAGTCCAAAACCTTGAGGAACAACCCCAGGCACGAGGCGCCCGAAGCGATTCATAGATGGGTCATTCGCGATACCTACAAAGGAATTACCGGAAGGCAACCGCAACCGAACCAGGATTCTGATGGACTCCTGGTACTGCTACCTAAGAAGGCATAGGACTACAGACGGATGAAATACTGTGCAAATGCTGCTAGGAAGAAGCGGATACTGAAGAATACATTTTATGCTTTTGTGACGGTCTATGCAGGTGCAGATT